AATAAAATAATAAACTTTATCTACCTGACCCAAGGAAATGAAATTACTGCAAGCCCAATAAGTCAGAATAGCTGCGGGGAAGTTCATTGTAAAGGGGAAAATAGCAATTGGTAGCGCACGCAAAACATATTTCATCATTGACATATTCTGTGCGGACAAACGTGCACTGTCCGTGCCAATTTCTATCGTTAAATAGAGCGTCGCGCTGGTAATTAATGGCAACATGAATGTGGGATCGGCAATGGTTAAATCGGTAAACCAAAATAGACCACCTTCACGCATCGATTCTACAGGTGTATTGGCCATTTGGCGAAGACCCATGAAAAACGAAATGAAAAGTGGAGCTTGTGCAAGTGGTACAATCATATTCTTCAAAGGATTCACTTGTTTCTCCTTCATAAAAAGCATCATTTCCTGGGCATAACGCGCCGACTCGATGGCATTACCACTTTGGCGAGCTTCGGTCATTTTCATTTGTAATACTTGCAGTTGCGGCATGTAATTGTTCATTTTTGCTGCATTTCTTTGTGCCATTATCACCAGCGGGAAAATAATAGTGCGCACTACTGCTGTGCCAATTGCAATTGTTGCCCACCATGGTAAATCACAACCAATATGTAAAAACTCCATGCAGTTTTGAACGAGACCTACAGGCGTCCAGCCACCAAGCCCTATTGATGCAAAAGTGGGTTCTCCAGCAGCATTGAGTAGTTGTGTGGCAACATCTTCGACTGGTGCGGCGGGTGCTTCAGGAATTGCTGAAAGATCTACTACAGTTTTGCTAGCATTAGCAGTATCTGCGACGGTATTAGTTGCACCAGTTACTGCAGCATCAGCGCTAGCAAACCGTACTCCGCCTGCTGACAAACTAAGTGTATTTAGCGATGACGGCAACAGCAGCGGGTGTGTTGTTGTGTTTGCACGATCCGCAGCATGATATTCTCGTACATTTGAAGTGTTGAAAGATGTGCCCGTGGCTTCGTAACTGAACTAGGAGAACAATTTTAATTTCATATAATAAAAAATTTACACAACACAACTTTTAAGGTTAGGTTACTTTAAAATGCAACTTCCTTTTATACCAACCTTGTTGCAGAGTTTCACCAAATTAGCTGTCCTTGCATATCGCAGATACTGTACTTTGGTGGACAACATAACGCTTAATTAATTTTAATTTAAAGTTAAGTATCGTACAAATCGCGATGTTTTGGCTTAAATTCTGCCGATTAGAATCAGCTGTTCGGAAAGAGGAAGAGAAGATTGTCAATGTGGTGTGTTCAGGGTGTGAATGTCCGAGAAAGTAGATGGTGTGTTCAGCAAATCAGCCGACGCTGTTACAGCCATACCTTAATAATGGCGTTTAGCGGTGCGTTTTTTGTCGCCTAGTGTTAACGCCGATGTACCTAAATAGAAGCAATAATAACTCAAGTTTTTCTCGACGAAGGGCTGCTGTTTTGGCACCTAATCTCGTTTAGACTGGCTAACCCCATCAACAGTTTTTCGTCCAAGGAGCAATATCTTGCAGCCGGATTTCTCTTCATCATTCTTCTCCGGGCTGCGTCTGCCATAGACGACTTCATCAAAAGTCTACTTCGGTTAAGTGAAACACCTGTAACGTATGGAATTACGTAACGGCGTGCTTATTTCTCACAGGGAGTAATCCACAAAGTTTGTGGCTTCCTGCTGGTCCAGCCATACGGCATTATCCGCCTACACGGCCACCAGTTTCGTAATAAAAGCCACACTCATGCATCCTCTCCGAAATGGTACAAAAGTCATCAAATAAAAGCTGTGGAGTCAATAGCTGTGGAGTTTATGGTGGTTGGCTACCGTCCACAAATATAAATATGCACTCTGCATGGCTTTTTACAATGGCGAGTCCAAAAATTCACTTTGCTGCACACCTTCCTTTTGGTCTACATGAAATTGCAAACACTGTTAATACATCCATTTTTTCATGTGCTAAAAATCGTACTTACCTAAAGAGCTACATGCCCAAAATTATTGTTCCTGATTAATCAATCTTTGTATTTTTATTGATTCCTGCAAAATTGGGCCATGCAATATTAAAATTAACACATTTTTGTGCATTGTTTACATATTTTTATATTCGTTTTGGCATTTCTCCCTCGCAATTGCACCAAGATGACGTCACGCAAAAATTACGTTCAAAAATCCTCTCTCATTGGCGCAATCTTGTATTCTATCATTCTTGGATCAACTCGTTTATTCGGAATTATCTCGGGAATTGACTGCAGCTAATCCGGATGAAGTCCTAGAGTTAATTTCCAAACATAACTCGGATCAAGGGAATATTCGATGACAACACTGACGAAAACACAGAGAGCGTAGAATACAGAGAAAGTACAAAACTAGCATGGACATATGCCTTTTCATCGGTAATGCAGTCACCATACTAATTCAGATAGGAATTCAATTTAAATTGAATAAGAACTTATTTGAATTAATACCAAAGAACGTAGATAATCTACGTTCTTTGGTTATATGTCCATGCTAGACTTCCATTTTCTTTGTGTTCTACGCTCCATGAGCAAACAAATACGCAAACAAAGCAGCCAGTTATTTCCTCCGCGATAGCCGAGTGGTGAGGGCTGCGTACTACAAGCCAGCAGGTGCCAGGTTCGATCCTCGTTTAGAGCGGTTGCCCAAAAAAAAATTTTTATTGTTACTTTATTTTTTTATTTTTTATTTATATATTTAATTTTACTTCATTTTATTTTCGGATGTTTTATTTTATTTAAATTTTTTTATTATTAGCTTTAAATAAAATTTTTGGAGTTTACTTTTACTAAAAAAGTCGAAAAAACAACTAATTAAAAACTTAAAAAAATATAGAAGTTTTATCTAATTGAATGAATAAAAAATCAATGAATATTCTACTGGCCGTGGGATTCGAGCTTACGACCTCGCGGCTCGTAAATTCGCATTACTGTCATCTGTGAAGGCACAATTTTGATCAGATCAATTGCAGCGTTAATCCGGATCAACGTTGCCGTCTGTCTATGCTTTAACACGCGTGTGCGAACCAGCACCGAAATAGCCTTTCAAGAAGCTCACAGGAGCAACAGTCGAAGTCCCACGTCCAAACGGCATGCTCCACCATTAAGGACGACGCCGCCACCAGTCGTACCTGAGCAGAGTGAACGCATATGTGCCCAATGAGTGCCCGGCGTGCGGACAGTCGCTACATGAGTCACGGCACCTGTTAGAATGCCCTCAAAACCCCACACAGCTAAAGCCCCTGTCCTTATGGAAAGACCCTAAGGAGGATGCGAACTTTCTGGGCCTCCCTTTGGCTGAGCCTGACGACAACGTTGATGGATGAGGCGACCCGAGCGAGGTTTAGTAGTCGCTACAACAACAACAATAATAAGGCCTCCATCAGGATTGTGGGTAGCTGCATCAGTTCGTCAAATCTATCAATAGCCAGTTCCTCAAGGTAGTCTTTGCTGCAGCGGCTCGCTTCATTCCATCCGGATGCATGGCGGTAGGCTGCCCAAACTTACCGGTAGAATCAGCTGTTCTTCTATCCCACAGGGGCTCAAAGAGTGGTCGATAAATTATATGTGTGGTCGGCAGTCGTCAGTAATCTTTCGACCGCACAGATTGCCAGCAACACTCGATCGTACGTGCTGTACCTTTTCTCCGAGTCCCTCAACTTTTTAGAGAAAAAGCCAAGAAGCCGCCACCCGTGGTCCATTTGGTGTTCTAGGACTGCACCAACACCGATGTCAGATGCGTCGCACTCCTATGCAAATTTAGCCTCAGCTACGCTGGTTTTGCGGGCATCAGAAGCGGATCAGGTTCAGCTGTCCAATTTACTTCTCATCTTCTTGACATCTTTCAACAACTGTATTACAGGTACTTGAACGTGGTTTTGCGGGCATCAGAAGCGGATCAGGTTCAGCTGTCCAATTTACTTCTCATCTTCTTGACATCTTTCAACAACTGTATTACAGGTACTTGAACGTGACCTCTACCTCTGATTGCACTATTTGACATTTCCTTACGTTGATACTGGGGTCGCCTTTTGCGGATAATCTGCAGGCCTCTACGAAAGTAAGTGAAGTGAATCCTCGCTTGAAACTGCTTCGAAGGCCCTAGGAATGATGAGGCTATAAGCAAAGTGGGGGCAACCGGGTCGGAACTTTGGCATTATCGCCAAACTTCTGATGATTATAGCAAAGTGTGTCTTTTTGACACGCGACCTGTTGAGACGGCTCTACGGAAGTAGAAGACGGTTGGCTATGGCGAATACTTGACTATGGGCTTGACTAGGAGATCGACTGCGAAAGTGGTTTGTGGAAAGAAAGCGCTTGATAACATATTGGAAGCTTCCGCCTTTCTATGAGAGCGATCGCTAATATCCTTTGATTTGGTAGCAGGAGCTACAGCGTTTACGATGGCGTTCATATTTTTTGATGATGCCGATAAAATGGCGTACATGGAGACCCAACAGTGTCGAACATTTATCAGCGTTCTTGGCGAACTGTCGAGTTGAGCGGTCGAACTAACTGCGACATTTCTAACAAAAAAAAAGAGCGAGAATGATGTTTTCACTATCTGTGGCCGCAGCCAGACCGCGCAGGTAACAGTAGGCAGAGCTTCGATTCAGGTGACTCTGCAAACTTTACCAGCAACCGTTTCTTGAGAAGTTGGTATTTTCCAGACGCTGGTGGACGAGTGAACTGTTACCAAATCAAACTTGTCTACATCTTCGTTGATGCCGTGGAAGCGGAACGGATGTTCAATTTGCGTCAACCATAAATGTGGGTTAACGCGTGGTAACTTTGCCAAGTGAATAGCTGGATGCTGTGTGGCAAGACGTGAACTGCTGTGCAAAGTTGAGGTGGCAACATGTAGTGCCTCCAGTTGCAGCTCGAATCTTGACCACTTATTTTCTGTGTCGTAGACAATGAGGTGGTATCTGGTGAGTCGCTTATATTGTTCAAAATTAATTTCCTTCTAAATAAATAACTTTTTCTTGGAGTCCAGCTTATTGCCAACAATTATTTTTTTAGACTGAGTAGGCAATTGAGGAATAAAGTCCTCTCTCGTCGTTCAAAAATCATTTTCTATAAGCCACTCATCGTAACCGTGCTGGAGTATGGCGCGTAGAAATGGACAAGGAAAACATTTGATAACGCGGGTCTTGGAGTTTTTCGAGGGAAAGATTCTGCTGAAGATTTATGGGCCTTTGCGCGTTGGCGATGGACAGAACTGGAGCGTCCTGAAAGTATGCAACGCAGGTCGTGATGGCAGTAAAAGAGGAAGAGGAAGGCATCTTATTCGATGGAAAGATCTGGTGGAGAAGGATTTGGCTTAACTTGGCATTTTTAATTGGCCGCAGCTGACATAGTAGAGAAACTGGCGTGCTTTGTTGGACTGAGGCAGAGTCACTTGGCGACCCAAAATCTTACTTTTATTACCCTAGGAAGTCGCACTAAAGGATTTCAAGCCTTTGGTGAACAATATTTGTATGAGCCAATTCAATCGTAAGTACGCTACAAACATACATATGTACTTACAATAAGCATTCGCCTGTACAAGATTATCACCTAAATACTACTTATACATTTCTACGCGTATAATGAAATACTCGGATTTAGCGACAACGAAATTGATTTATTCAAATCATTGCTTTTAAAGCAGATCTACATATGCACATTAGGCGTATGACTTTTCCTAAAATTAAGTATGCCTATAAGGAGAGCATGAAGAATGATGAAAAACTAACAAAAATAACGTTTTCGTTAAAATTTGGTAGAAAAAAATCACGCAGGGAACTCTGAGAAAAAATTTATGAAAAAACTCTAGTACTATCAAGTGCAGTTGATTTGCCGCTATTTAATTTTTTTTCTTTTAACTCTATATGAAAATTTCGTTATCGGTCACAAAAATAGTTGTGGCAAAATTTCAGCTCCCTATTGAGTTAGTGCTCGCAAAAATAAGAATTTTTAATAAAAAAAATTATTTTTCGGATTTTTTTATAAACTATTAATTATAACAAATAAAATGAAAGACAAAAATCTTGCAGCAGATCAAATTTATTATAATAAGTGCAAGTTTGAATAGCCAGGACTTACCGTTGAATTTTGACAAGTTTTTTTTTTTGGTACTCGGTATGGAAGGAAATGACTGAAACCACCAACCAAAAAAAATTGCCGAAATCAACAATAATAATAGCTAGTTTATTCTTACACTTATTATACCAAAATTTAATGGGCTACAAGGT